AAGAAACATAAACCACTTATAGGTCTAAGATCGGCATGTTCAGACGGATTCTTACTTTTGGCTAGAGGTGTGACTATTGCCTCCTTCCAGTTGGATGGGAAAACGCCCCTCTCTAAGCAAATATTAATAATATGCGTGATGTGATCAAGTATTTCAGGCAGGCATAAGCCTAGCATAGTTAGAGTGATGCCGTCACAACCCGCTGCTTCAGACTTGATAGACAAGACTGCATTCATAACTTCACGAGGGGTTACCAGACGAAAGTGAAATGATGACACGTCGGGATCGAAGCGTCTGTTGCTGTAGCTGTTGACAGTGGATTGTACTACTTTGAGGTTTTGATCGGCAGGCATAAAAGTACTTAAAAAGTATTCGTTGACTTCACGGGGATCTAGCAGATTAAACGGTACATCAACACGTTTCTGTTGACAGACATTCATAGACCTAAGTGTTTTCCATGCTGATGTGTGTACTAATATCACCATATCTAGAAAGGTAGGCCCTCTTCTCCCTACGAAAGGAAGCAAGTGCGTAATTCCGCATATCTTTGTACGTAGACCAGTTCACTTCAGATGGGTCATGACGGAAATTCAAGAGAGCTTGGTCGCGTTCCTTAAAGATGCATCTCAGGTTCGATGTTATCCATGGAGCAGCCGGTTTTGTTACACGAGCAGTTCTTAATGGCGCGTGCATATCATATATTTCTATTATGCAACTAGATAGACAGCTTACTTTGTCATCAACATCCATAAAGTAAAAGATACGATCAAGTCCAGCATGAAGTAAGTCGCCCTTAAAATTAATAACATCAATATTTTTTATATCTCTAAAAGTTACTAACTTGGGTTCAAATTTAGGAAGCTTCAGAGCAACAGCACAGAAAACTAACTTGTGGTCGGACACAAGATCAGCATTAAGAACTCCTGATTTTACAACACTGTTTGAATTGCTAGAAAAAATGGGGTCTATTAGAGTTGAGCTAAACTGAGTTACACGAGTCGGTTCATTTATTAATTGATCAAAATTGAAGCTGTCGAAGCAGTTGCTCAAAGGATTGTCATGATTCAAAAGGTCAACATTTATGTCACCAAGAATTATTATATTATCAAATTGAGGTACGAAGAAAGAAAGCATATCATCAATGGTATCAATGCTATCTGTAATTGAAGTATGAGGAGGGCGATACACGACGACAATAAGTAGGGTAGAGTTGCCCATGCTGAGTTTGCAGCATAGCAATTCTAAGGAAGAGTCACCTACAAAATCAAGAGTATCAATAACGGTAATGTTGAAATTATTTCTTATATAGAAGCCAACCCCTCCACCCCTGCCCAAACGATCTCTACGGAAAAGCTGGTAGCCTTCTATAGATACAGTTTGACTAGAAATGTTTTCATTAAGCCACGTTTCGGTAATGCATATAATATCGAATTTGTTTTGAACCAATCCACAAAAACAGTCGAAAGCAGTAGTCAAGGACCGCACATTGAGATGACAAATATTTAAAACTTTGTTATTAAGCCTAGCCATAGTCAATTCTAGATTTTAATTCAGCATATTTCTTTAAAAAACATGGACATTGTCTGTCTGATGCAGCATGATCGACTGAATATGGCTTAAAATCTCTAGAATGACTTTTCATATAATTATTATATACACAGCAATTCACACATTTCTTACTAACAGAGTTACAATCTTTCTCATCATGGTCATTAGAACATAGCGAGCACACAGGCTTATTTTTGCAATCTTTTTTCACATGACCGAATCGAGAGCAGCTAAAGCACCTAATTACTGAAATATGGTCACGGACAAAACACTTTTTCCAAGAGGTATACAAAAAGCCACGAGTAATTATGGTTTTCCTCACATCAGGATCAACCTCTACTATATAACTCAATGAATATTTTAACTTTAGAACAGATATCACCTTTATATCACAATCAGCCAAGTAATCATTATTTTGGACTATTGATTCGAGGAAAGTGTTTCTATCATCTAGTGATTTATCAACATCAGTAATCAAGAGACGGGGTTTAAAGGGTTTGGGAGCTGTTACTTTATACTTACTGTTAAACTTATTCTGAACTACACCCTTAAGTTTTTCTAAAGATTCTTCGTTAGAGCAACTAATCAACATTCCATTTTTTATAAGCTTAACACCATTGATACTTATTTTCTCGGCAGCAGGGTTAACATTCGCTTTAACAGTATTTAAAACCTCGGAGTTTGATTCTTTTTGATCATTTGACGTAATAATTAAAACAGACTTGGAATGATTGCTTACAGTTTTTGACACAACCTGACTATAAGGTACGGGAAGTTCAGTATTCTGCTGTATTTGTACATCGGGAAACCTACTGGATGTAATTTGTTCAATTTTATTGAGCAAAATTTTGTTAGTAGATTTTAACTCATTCACAAGATCAGTTAGTAGCCGAACATCACTCTTCACTTTAGCAAGCTCCTTAATTACATCTCCATCGCTATTCGATATCACGGTTGTGGTTGATGTATGACTATCTTCATCGCAGTTCTTGCACAGCCAGTCGGATTTTTCTAGTTTTATAACTTTGGCAATCGATAGGAAGCATTTCTGATGTAGGGTAACTTCACAATTTAGATTACAACATTTTATCTTTGCACTGCCTTTACGGATATCCTCTTCACAAGCCTCGCATCGCATGTCTATGTCTGGTTGCTTATTTTTACCAGACATACTGCTACCTCAACCATTGGAACTGAGCGCACGCCGCTGAGTCGAAAAACAACTAGACAGCGTGGAGTGGTTTTTGCTTGGATATTTTACTCAGAAATTCACTATTAAAAGAACATCACACTGCACACGGCAATCAAATCGAATTTAAGAGTACATACCACAAATCACATAGACTAGGTGCACTACAAAATTCAAGAAAATACTCGCACTTTTTCCACTTAAACAATGCGTTTATCAGTAGCTGAGAAGTAACAGTAATATCACCCTCAGTGGCGTAACAAGTGGAACTAGCAGAGTGCGCATTTGCAGATGATTTGGTGTTGGTAACTGGTAGTGGTAAATTTTGTGGCCTTAAAAATCATAATGTATTATTTTCCCCTTGATGAGCTCGACTACTTGTAATAAAATATTAAAACCAGTCAAATATGCTAAGAGAAAGGAACGCGCATGAATACTACCATAACTAAACTGGAAGGAAGAATGCAAACTGATTACGGCCTGAGATAAGATGACCCCTCAACGCTTCCATGCTACAAGACCCGATACATTGGCGTAGACTAGTAGTGCTTGGAACTTGTTTCGTTGTTAGAAGAATTGAGATGCACTTACGCGTTGCGAAAGCATGGCAGGCGTCGCAAAGTGGACTATTTGCAGGGTGGTGCATGAACAGAAGAAAACTGGAGCAACTGCTGATCCAAAGTTCCATTTGAAGGGACGAAAGGCCATTAAACTAAATGGCGACAGCAAAATGGCGTTAAGACATTCATTCTTTATTAGAAATGTTATACCAATAAAAATAGTTGCATGGCGTCGAAAAGACCTAGGCGCAATAACTGAATATAGACAACAGAGCAGCAAAATATATTGTTAGTATGAGACGTGGGTAAATGCAGGCCAACAGGTATTCGTGCACCGTCAGGGAAAGGTCAAAGATTGATCGTTACACATATTGGTAGCGATAGTGGATTTTTAGAAGGATGCAACTTGACTTTCGTTTCTAAGAAAGGAGGCGATTATCATGACCATTGAATACCAGCTGCTTCGAGTGGTGGTTTCAAGGGGTGCTTCAGCGAGTTGAACTCAACTCTGGGATCGTCAAGGATAATGCTTTCTACCACAGTCGTCGAGCTGAACGTGTACCAAATATGGGGTCTCGGAAAAGTGAGATGCAGCAATGGTTGCGCGAAAAGAGCATTCCGTTTAACGATTCACGTGTGAAAGCGGCACTGTACGAAACTATTAAACATCACAAACCTGTGAACATTAGTTACGTGATTGATGAGATGGCCTGTCATTGTGGTGTCACTGTGCTGCATTCACCGCCCTACCATTGTGTACTGAACCCTATAGGGCTTATCTGGGCTCAAGTGAAGGGTTATATTGCGCGCCAAGACACAACTTTTAAATTACCAGACGTCGAGAATTCCATACAGCTAGTAACGCCTGAAGCGAGGCAGAATGCTGTCCGTCCAGTTCTGAAGGAAGAAACAAAAATGTGGCAGCTTGACCACAATATCGACACCATGATGGAGCCAGTTATAGCCAATCTTGGCGAAGAAAGTGATAGCGACAGCTTATTACTTTCAGATGGAAGTGGAAGCGACGACGAATGAAGATAGGTAGACTCAATTAGCTCATGGATAATCAGAAGAAAAACTGACAAAGGCAATCTCCAAATTGCTAATCTATAACGTCTTTCAAATCATTTCCTTTTTTATTAAACATGTAAAAGAAATCAAGTTCACCCACTTAATAAATTCATAACCCGCCACTGAAAACCCGACTACCGGTGGTTGAGTGATGTTCACGTGAACATTGATGAGTCATTACAGTTTTAGATAGTTATGGTATAGCATAATGCAAAGGCTTACTAAGTTCATTAAGAAAGTGGAATGTTAGTCGGCCTGATGTAACTGGAGGTGCATAAAATGCTTCATGAACGTTTGTAATTACTTCGTCAGTATGAGAAAACCCTCAGTGTGTGGTCTGCCTTATTACCAATTTCTCTCTTTGGCACGTTTTATACTATCAACGTAACGTATGCAAAATTGGGTTCGTGGTTTACTACTCGCTCGTAAAGACCGGAAACGGTCATACGTCCGCAATTTGCTGCAACGAAATTCCCATAGAGAAATAGAACGCCCTATCAGATAGGGAAAACATGTAAACTCTTATACAGCATGAAAAGATAGCATCGAGTCTATACATATTTTGGAGAGAAAATATATTTATTGCAAAGACGAAAACAAAGACGTATGGCAACAGGAACTATTTATTCTATCTAGATGGCCTCGAGCGATCCTAAGTCTGATAGCTTGTAGACTGCTTTAGAAAAAATAAAATGTACACAAGCGTTCCTGCAAAAGAACGAAATATTCTGGTGAATATGATCGCCACAGAGAGACAGAACGTTACAGTTTTGGAAATCAATCACCCTAGTATGATCTTGTTGGCAACTGCTCTCACAGTTTCTAGAACGACATAGAACAATACACGCACTATAAAAGGCATCCTTGAGCCTAATTGCACACACAACAATTTTGGACGGCCGGTAAAATATCGACTGATTTTTTAACGGTAGACTCTGCTTACACACGCGCCGATTTTTGACCGGTACAGTGCTGATTTCCAATATTATTTTTGATGAATCCCCAACGAGTTGTTGCAATGTTCTGGATTCATTTTTCTCTTTGGACTACATTTCTTTAAAATCCTCATTCAGTTCACAGCAAACTTGGCTCCATGCCTTTAAATATGTCCAAAGTTTTATCCCATACAATTGGTCTTGCTTCCACTAGCGCAATAAGTATGTCATTATCGATGTTCATATCTTTATCCATTGTAAACGTATATGCAGTCATAATCACGGCCATTAAATAATAAGTGAGTGTGCAAGCTCCTATTCAAACACGTATGCCTCTACAGGGTGTTCCTTAATGGTATGCGAATATTTAATGGTGCGAATCTACATGAAAAATTAATGTTATTTTGCTTTATAAACTATGGTTAAAAAATGTTTCCTTACAAAAACTCGGGGTGTTGAAGTTTTAGGAAAAAAATGGAAATTAATTAATATTTTCAGAACTGCTTCGGATATTTCACTGATATTTAGTACGTAGTGAAAGTTAATAAAGTTGCATATTTTTCAATGCAAATTCGATATTTTTTAAGAAAAAAATTGTACGCCAATGGTTTTTTGCCAGATAGAAATTATTTTTGAATTCCAGGTTCAATTTAAAACAAATGATCTTTCTTGAGCTGCTTTCCTTCGATGCGCCAGTTTTGAGTAAAAAAATAAAAACCATTCTATTGCCCGAGAAAATTAAGGTAATAATTGAGGAATGCAATTTAGCAATAAATATCTAGTTGCTCTGGAGTAGGTCACTGCCTTTTGACATCTCACAAGTCTCTGTTATTTAAATCTGTTCGCTGTGACATCTTTTTCATTATTTAGTTTTTACAATCTTGTTAATAATGGTGAATTATTCAAATGCATGAATGGCGGAAATGCATTACGTATATGGCCTTGCCGACGGTAATGGTGAGCAAGCCAGACGGATTTATCACCAGAGATATCCCGATTGCGCTTTGCCAGATAGTCGAACCTTTTCTAATATTCATCGTCGTCTTGTTGACACTGGTTCTGTCCGAAAAGGAACATCTGAAGGTAGACCACTAAGTGTGAGAACACCTGAAATTGAGGAAGTAGTGCTGCACGAAATCGAAGAACATCCTGAAACGTGTACGAGGAACATCGCTAGACACTTAAATATTTGCCATCAAATTGTTTGGAGAATTTTACTGGATTTTTTGTTATATCATTATCATATTTTAAGAGTGCAGGCATTCTTCCCATTGATTTTCCAAGGCGTGTGACCTTTTAACAGTGGTATCTCAAAAAAATTACACAAAATCCGCAATTTGACTCAACGATTCTGTTCATGAACGATGCTAATTTTTCTCGAAATGCCATTCAGAATGTCCACATCATTTGTGGGCAGAAGAAAATCCCTATGCCGTAACCGAAACCCGTTTTGGGCAGGAAATTATTGACAACCACTTTATTGGCCCATTCTTCTTGCCGGGACGACTTGACGGACAGCCTTACCTCAATTTTCTTCAACAACAGTTGCTTTTGCTGCTTGATGATGTCCCAAGAATGGCCTCCAAGGTCCCCAGACCTCAACAGTTTAGATTTCTTTTTGTGGGGCTTAAGACACTAGTGTACACAAGTCCCATTAACACTTTAGAGGAATTTAGAGAAAGAATAGTTGCATCTTGTGATAGAATAAAAAACACTTCAGGGATATTTCAACGAGTGCGCAAATCCATGAGAAGGAGGGCGGAAGCAAACATACTAAGTGAAGGGGGCCATTTTCAACAATTTTTGTAATCATTTCCTTGGTTTTAATGTTATGTTTATGTTGTCAGTTGTTGTTGTTCATTACCCCTACTGTGTTGAATTTTTCCAATTAAATAAATAATAATTTTGCAAGTTAGACAATAGAATGGTTTTTAGTTTTTCACTCAAAAATGGCGCATCGAAAGAAAACAATTCAAGAGAGATCATTTGGTTTAAATTGGGCGAGGAATTTAGAAATAATTTTCATTTGGAAACAAGCTTTTTCGTACATTTTTTTCTCAAAAAATATAGAAGTCAATACCCGTACGCACGCCACTGTTAAAGCTAGAAATTATTTTTGCATTGAAAAATATGCAACTTTATTAACTTTCACTATGTACTAAATATCAGTGAAATATCTATAGCGGTTCTGAAAATATTAATTAATTTCCATTTTTTTCCTAAAACTTCAACACCCCGAGTTTTTGTAAGGAAACATTTTTGGACCATAGTTTATAAAGCAATTTTTCATGTAGATTAAAACCATTAAATATTCGCATATCATTAAGAAACACCCTGTATATTCCCGGTACCGGCGCATCACAGTGACAATGTCGGCCAGTGTGCAAGATTCAATGCCCTCCAATGGTTTACTATTAAAATGTGGTCGGCCGATATTTTACCGGCCGTCCAAAATCGGTGTGTTTGCAAGTAGCCTGACAATCGTGAGTCAGTCAGCGTGTCAGCGAAGATCAGTCGACGCTAACGCGGAACCGCGGCTCAGGTTTCGTTGTTGTTACAAATTAGTCTGTTAAATAGTAATAAACTAGTTTGTTCAAAACAATATTCTCCAATGTTGCATACCGAGGAAAAAATAAAACTGCTAGTTGAATGCATTAGCCTTTCTGTACGATGGGAATTTATGAAAAGGCAGGGGAAAATTGATATTTCTGCGAGCGAGCGAATACAAAAATAGTTCGCTAGAATTTTTAGATATACATATCATGGGGGAAGTGTCCAATAATTAAGCATAGTCTAGTGATGCAGTACACAATGTCTCAGTTCAGCCCTAGAAATGTACAATCATTCATTTTTACTTTGGCCAAACCAACTGATAAGAACATACAAATGAATTTAAAAAAATATAAAATACTAAAATGTTATAAAACTACAATGATTTAAATCAAAAAATCAACCTTGAAATTCGTGTTTCACGGAAAAAATCCCGAGCTTGATTTTTGGAAATATTTGACTATTCTGGTCACTTAAGAATGTAGTCATTAAAATTTCTAGACCGTCAAATATTTTTCATATTTCGGCCTGTATTTCACTCACCATCAATGACAGTCTTATAATAATAATGATAGCAATAATAATAAGTTTTTTCCAACAGGTAGATTCACCCAATTGCAGGAAATATCAATAAATATCAATAAAGCACGATAACGGTTACTATTAAAACCTATGTTACTTAAAATATATGGACAATAAGTCATATTGTGAAGCAAACTGAACAAAAAAGACATTGTGAGCATATTTGGACGTACTTTAAGTGGTTTGATATCAAAAGTTTTAAGCAATACATCAGGTCGAAGAATCTTTGCGGATAGAAACCATTGTTTTTGAAAAAATATGTTTTACACAGTATATTGCAATATGCTTGTAGAGATTTGATAAATATCTGCCCAGATATGCCACGTAAGTTAGATATAGAAGCTTGATTGTTTCAACAGTAGAGAAACCTGACCAGTTTCTATCCAAATTCACATAGCATTCAGGAACAACGTAATGTTATTTAAGTGATCATTGAACGTGAACTGGGTATCAAATGTAACACCTAGGTATTTATAACTTTTACTGCTTTTTAACCTTAACTAATCAATGCTGTAATAATCATAAAGCATAACATTTTGTTTCCTACAATATGTTACTACTTGACATTTTGACACATTTAGTGTGAGGGGGTTTTTGGAGTGCCATGAATTGATAATATTCAAATTATATCTTCTAAAAAATGTGTAGTTTATTTTGTGTTATAATAAACCAAAAAAATTGCGTATTCTAAGATGATGAAAAAGAAATAGGGCTGAAGATGCCAAAAACTTCCCTACCTTTTGTGGAATCTCACCCAATAGGTTTGCATACAGTCATAATAACCTCTGACTGGACTAGACAGAAATTAAACATAGGTATTGTACTTTATATCCTTAGCTTAAAATCCAGCAGTCATGAATCATGTACTAGCTGAAAATTGTACGAAATATCATTTGTTTCTAAATTGCGTAAGATCACATTTCTTTTCCCATGGTGGCCTGAACCAAAGTATACGAGTATAATCTCTCAGCTAATACAGTTTCTCAGTGTACGCGTCACAGGAAGATGATTGATTGAGCATCATCTCAGAGGCGTATTTTTTTACCCGACTATTTTAGATATTATATTTGCGGACCTATTTAGAGTATACCTTTTAATACACTAAAGAAGGGTAGATGTTTCGTGCAAATATTTTCAGAAGGGGGAAAATCTGGCATGGAAAGACTTCGGGTCGCGATAAATCTTTCACAGGTTTTCGTTTGACAGAGACACCACATCACATCAGACGGATGTTTTCTTTATATCGTTGACAAAAGTTTCCGCTGCTTTGAACAGATGTTCTTATTGAGGAGTTCTCCACGTGCCTATGTAAAATTCGATTCATTGAATGGTAGATTGGAGTATTTTGAACTTTTAGGATATTAGTCTAATCATATTAAATGAAAACACCATTGGCTTGCGAAATAATTGTAATGCCTGGTTTTACTGATGCAAGTTGTTCAAGGAGGTATTTAAAACAACAAATTTTTGTGGGAAAACCTTTTATTTGACAACAAATATCTATATAAAATGCCCTTTGAACGACCTCTGTATATTGCTTAATAAACTAGTAGTGATGGCCGGAAGACAGGTGTTTTGGGATAAACAATTAGAAATTCTCAAAAACTACTTCACCAATCGACTCCAATTTTTCTGTGGGTA